TCTTTCAAAACAAAGCTTTTTAACTTTTAGCACATACAAGCTATTACGGTTTTGTTTCTCCATTAGGTTTATTCTATGATTGAAATTATCAAAACAAAATTAAATCTCGTAAACATTTGAATAACATATTAACACTTTAATTTCCTTAGAAGGTATTGCATCTTCCGAAAATATTTTGGCGCGTAATTCAAACTCAATAATATGGATTGCTATAACGCTAATACATACACACACACATATATATATATGTATATATATACATATATATATATATATATCATATATATATATATATATATATATATATATATATTATATATATATATATATATATATATATATATATATATATATATATATAATATATATATATATATATATATATATATATAAACTTTACAAGAAACAGGAAAAAATCGAAAATTCCGCCACCAACATTCCCTAGACACACTATTTATCTACAAAAAAGAGCCATAATACGTTTATTTTAGACTAAATTTGCGTCCAAAACCATTCATGAAAAAATAAGCAAACCTGAAATAATGGTCATTGAATTTTTTTTTTTCATGATCCTTATGGTATGAAAAATTAAAGGGAGAAGCATAATCTTCCTAATCCATAATTGTCTATACATTGCCAGCACTTAACGGTTTCTCAAAACATTATGTAGCAAATTGGCAGTAATTTTTCGTGTCTATAGGCCTACAATGACCATTTTTTTAAAAAATTGATCTAAAATCCATTCTGATTTCATAACTGAATAGGTTTTTTATTTGTCTTTTTCTAAATTTCAGAGATGTTTATTTTTTGCATTATTATTATTTAATGAATCTTTGACTGTTACTTTTCTTGTTTTCTCTGCAGTATTTCATGAGGTAAGAAAATTTCTTTGTTGAAATTCTACTATAATATGCAGAACCATTTTTAGAAGTCATCTTTGCTTTTCTTCACTATCTCGACACCCTAAAAAGGGATACTGAAAATACATGTCAATTTTATAAGAAGCACATGAAAATATTGCAAATCTCTATTGCATCATGTAATAGCTCTATTATTCAGCTACAAAATGAGCCATAATACATTAAAATCAGACTGAAAATACGTGTGCTATGCATAAAAATGTGAAGGACCTAATAATCACGATCTTTTTCCTTTTCATTATACATTTTACCTGACAAATCATCTACGAAATACTTGTACATTATATAATTATCTATCATTTACCTATTGCTCTAATGGGGTTTTCGCAACGTATAATATTGGTTTGAAAAATAACCGTTATACACATCCTTTTCTCAGCTCAGCGTTGTGGACCATAAAATGCGTTTTTTTGCATCTGCGGAATAGTGGTGTTCAACTCTACGTGGTCACGTGGCCAATTTTCACACTCGGGCTCCGTGGAAAGACGAAATACTATTACATGGCGATGTAGAAGTATGTTTATAAGGTATATAAGCACATATAGATCATTTTCGTGTACCCCATGACCTTTCGTTTATTTATATTGTTACTTTCGTTTGTTTGTTTGTTTGTTTCTGATATTTCTAAAATATATGAACACATTTTAATGAGATTTTAACGGAAGGTGTGTTTTAACCTATCTTAGACGCTTAATGCACTTTGGTGGTGATGCGGACCATGGTTTGGATCCGGTATATATTTTTTTCTAACTCGAAAAGTTACGAACAGATTTTAATATAATTTTTATCTGAGGTTTGTCTTTATTCAATAAAATTTTGGTGGTGATCCGGATCATTTGGAGGGAGGTTTGCATTTTCGAAATGTTTTGCTCATAGATCATGTATGATGAAAACATAACGAAAATAAAATACTCCGTGTAAACGGCATATCATGTTTATTTATTTGCATGGAAAAATTCATTATTGTTTTTTGGACGCTTGCCAGATTTTTAAAAATTATTCCGAAAAAAATGAAGGTTGGTCTCATCTTATGTGAAATTTAATCTTTCAAAAAATAATCTCATTTTTTCATTATAATCTTTGCGTCAGAATTGCCGACTTTACAAGATAACGTGAAAAAAAAAAATATTTCAGTCAACATCGAAAATGGCTGCTACCACCTAAAAAATAACGGTCGGTCCTTGAAAATTTCTGGGGAGAACGTGGATCCTAGGAACGTGAAAATGCATATAACAATTTCGGGAGAAAATCGCCGTAAAAAGACCAGACAATCTCCTTAAGTTGTTCTATAGTGAATCAATTGAGTAGAGCTGAAGGAAAATGTGATTCTGGTGACAGAATGAGTAAAATTATACCTCAAAGAAACAGTTAACATCTCAAAGAAACAGTTAACATCGTGAGTGCATATGCTCTCTAGGTAGACTGTGAGGAAAAGAAGGAAGATTTCTAAGGACGGAGGCACGAGAGAAAGTGATCAATGGAGATGAGCTAAATGGACACAGGCATCAACAGAAATTGGCTTACGGCGTGTAATTCATTTTGGCTTGTCCTTCGATTTGCCGATCTCTAACACTTAGTATATGACCCGAATAGCGAAAGCCAAATTGCCTTCATCCTATGTGGATACACGGTTGCAACGTGTAATGGACTGGGAGTATGAAAGGAAAGCGAAATGGAAAATGCAGAAAGTAGAACCTAAATTCAAACGGTAGAGATTGAAAGAGGAGGCAATGAAATCAAAATTTAAAGAAAAAGTGTCTGAAAGGGTGAGACCGCTGAATTATGTACAGGGATGGTGGGAAATTAATAGCGGAGTGATAAGAGCAGTTGGGAAAGACGTGCTGGGTAAAACATCTGGGAAAGGCCCTCCTGAAAGGAAAATTGGTGGTGGAATGAGGATGTGCAGGTGAATGTTAGAGAGAAGAGAAAGTGGGAAATATCAGGATTAGAACAGGATAAAGATCATTATAAACAAACTAATAATATAGTAAAAATACAGTGGCAAGAGCCAAGCCTATAGCACTAGATGAAACGTACAAAGAGTTAGAAGAAAAGGGTGAAGAAAGAAAAGCATTGAGGATTGCAAAAGCCCAGGATAAAGCAACCAAAGACTACACCCAGATTAGACAGATCAAAGATGGAGAAGGAATGGTGCTAAATGAAGAGGAAAAGATCAGGGATAGATGGAAAAGCTACTTTAAATCCTTGTTGAATGAGGAAAATCCTAGAGCAGGTTTTGAAGATGGAGCTCTAAACCTTGGAGTGACTTGTGCTATGGTTAGGCAGGAAGTTAGAGAGGCTTTGAGGAAGATAGAAAATGGCAAAGCGACAGGACCGGACGACATACCTGCAGAAGTTTGGAAGTGTCTAGGAGATGAAAGAATACATATGTTGTGAGATTTAATGATGTAGATCTATGAGGAGGAAAAGATCCCCAATGAGTGGAGAGACAGTGTCATACTTATCTATAAAGAGAAAGGAAATATCTAGGATTGTAGCAATTAATGTTTCATACCATGAAAATGTGGGAGGATAAATGAAAGTAGGATAAGAAAGGAAACCGTCATAGGTGATGAGCAGTTTGGGTTTATACCGGGAAAAGGAACCATGGATGCAGTTCTTGCGCTAAGGCAATTGATGGAAAGGCATAGGGAAATAAGGCAAGGCCTGCACATGGTTTTTATAGATATAGAGAAGGCCTACGATAGAGTGCCAAGGCAAAAGCTCTGGAGATGCATGTGAAGGAAGGGAGTGCCAGAAAAATATGTTTGGATCATCCAGGACATGTAAGAAGGAACAAGAACTCGGGTGAGAACCAGTGATGGCACAACGGGATGGATCTGAGTTAGAGTTGGCCTACATCAGGGGTCCTCTTGAAGTCCTTATCTGTTCGACCTCATTATGGATGTATTGGCGGAAGGAGTTCTAGAACAGGCTCCTTGGTGCATAACTTTTGCAGACGACATTTTTATCGCCACTACCAGAGTAGATCGAGCGTAAATTAGACCAATGGAAAAGGGCTTTAGAGGATAGAAGCTGAAAGTAAGAAGAGGACAGAAAATCCAAATTTCTGTGAGGAAGGAGAAAAGAGAATGCAAGATGAAGTACTGAAGAGAGTTGAAAAGTTGAAGTACCTTGGATCAGTGGTATCCAAGGATGGAGAAATGGATCCGGAATTTACACATAGAGTGCAGGCAGGTTGGATGAGTTGGAGAAAGATGTCTGGCGTTTTGTGTGACATAAAGATAAGCGCAAGAGTTAAAGACAAATTTTACAAAACTGAAATGCCGGCTATGATTTGTGGTGCAGTGACTTGGCCAACGAAAAAGTAACAAGAAAGAAGATTTGAGGTTGAGGAAATGAAGATGGAGAGGTACCAAATACTAAATAAGATTAGGAACGAGAGGATTAGAGGGACAGTAAAGGTTGAGAAGTTTTCAAAGGAGGTACAGGAAAGAAGATTGCAGTGGTATGGACACTTAATGAGAAGAGAAGATTATGTTGGCAGAATGGTAATGGAACGAGGTGGATGGAAGACGGGGTAGAGGGAAGCTGAAAGGAAGATGGATGGAGAATATAACGAGAGATTTAAAAGAAAAGAACTTGCAAGGAAACGGGTAGAGGAATCGGGCTGAGTGGAGGAGGTTGGTCAAGAAGGCCGACCCCGCTGAGGAGCGGGAAAAGGCAAAGAGGAAGAAACACACACACACACACACACATATATATATGTGTGTGTGTATGAGTGTGTGTGTATACATATACATATATATACATATATATATATATATATATATATATATATATATATATATATATATATATATATATATATAATATATAAATATATTATATATATATATATATATATATATATATATATATATATATATATATATATATATATATATATATATATATACACACACACGTACATGAATACATATACATACATACATACATATATATATATATATATATATATATATATATATATATATATATATATATATATATATACATATATATATATATATATATATAATATATATATATATATATATATATATATATATATATATA